CATTAGAATATAAATTTCACCATTTGTCAGTAAGGTTTCTTCCACAGAACATTCAGATTCCAAATTCACACGAAACCACAATCTTACTTTTAAATTTTGTTTACTCAATAAAAAATTCAGTGGACAGCCTTGATTCTCTTTTTATTATTTTACCAGTCATAAAATGTCCAAGAAGAAAAATGAAGACATTTGTCTTCTTCTAACTTTGCCAGTGGTATCCTTATATCCCTATGCATTATCAAAATATAAATCTTTAGAGGATTTTTCCCAGGTTTCTTAACAGGGTAATTCTACTTACAGATTTCAATGTTAGTCCCACTGACATTAAAGTCTCTTAAGAAATAAGGCAGTTTATGCCTGATAAGGTATAAGAAACATAGTTTTCCATACTTAATGGAAAATTTCACTACCTGTACTTCAAAAGGAATACACAGATTTGGTAAATATTAGTAGATTTAGTAAGGTTTTCTGACTGACAAAAACCAATGTCCTGTGAGACACAATCTTGATTTGACTTGATATCTAAAACTTCCTTTTGCAGTGAAAGACACGCCAGCTGTCCAATATCTACTTATTATCCTATTTTGGAGCAACATCATGATCCCCCTGAAACTACTGTTAGGTAGCTATTTATCCAAGTTTATGGTTAATAATCTTAAAATATGTTTTTTTGAGAAGCCAGAATAAATTAACATGTCTTTATTCCTTTTTAGCTCCAGATTTCATGAACCTATGATATATAGTACAGTGTTATTTTGTTTTCAAGTTTTAATTTTAGTTTACCCAATGTATCTCAGCAAAAGACTAAGTATACCTCAACTCTATGCTATTTATGTATTTTATATTGCACCATTTTGACATTCCTCAAAATAAAAAACAAAAATCATAATACAATTGTAGCTAAAATAACATGAGGTCTCCTAAGAAAAATAAATCTGTGATCTACAGATGAATACAATCTCAAGCCATGAGCAGCTTGTGTTTATAGAGAAGTCAAATCACAGAAAAAGACTCTTTTCACTTTTGTTAACATACAGCGAATGATGTGGAAATTAAAAGTAAAGTCAACTTTGTCAGTAAAAAGGCATCATTAAGAAATCTTTACTTGAAAAATTAATGCAAACTCTAGCTGACTTATGGGCACATTTTGTCCTTATACTTTCAAAACTTTGCATAGAGTGCTTTTGGGGCCACTTTTCTTAAGTTTTTCTTCATAATAAAACCATAGTTTTCAACTTTTGTGAGTAACTTTTACCTTGCACTTAACTGACTATAAAGACATCTAGGTTAAGACAATAAAAGAAAATAAGCATGACAGCATTTCATTCAAATAAATTCAAGTGGAAGGTGAGAGTACTAGATCAGAATACGCTTAGTATCATTACTAAGAAACCTGAGAATGAGAAAGGGCATGCTGTTGAATTTATATGCATGTCTAAGAGTATATGACACACAACTGCAAATACTTCCACAAGTCAGCCTCCCCTTGACACAAAAGGGCTGGCTCCATACTGTGAGGTTGCCTTCATATCCCTCTTCACACCTTCCATTTTCCATCTTCAGCCCCCTCTGCCCTTCTTAACCCAGATGTCTATAGTCAGTTAAATACAGGTAAGAGTTACTCAAGACAGTGGAAAACTATGGCTGTATTATGAAGAAACAATTAAGTGACCCAAAAAGTATTCTATGGAAAGTTTAAAAAATATTAGAACAAAATGTGTCCATAAGTAAACCAGAGTGGAAAAATCTCCTAGTAAGCACCATTTAACTTGTTTATTTAATGATGAATGTGTAAAAGCTTTTTCAATGACATAGGGAGTGGTGATCCTTAAGAAAGATATATAATAGGCAATGTCAACACACGCATTTAGACACAGATCTTTTCTTCTCAATCAACACCACATTCTTGTAATATTGGTGCCATGAAACTTACAAAAGCCACTTTTGAGATTGTTAAAGGAAAGGAAAAAGACATAACGTGAGATTTGCGGTAAGATGTTCTTTGTAAAGATCAGCACTTTCCCATGGAGGGAAGGTACAGGTGACTTCTGATGACAGCAACATGCTGATTTTTCCAAGGTACGTGTACTCAAAACCTGCTCAACAGAGGGGAAGCAAGCAGTGAATATAAAACAGGCAGGGCCGGTAAGCAGTGCCGGGACAAGTCTGAGGGGAGTAAGGCCCTCCAAGGGCAAATTGTGAAATGTTAGCCCGTGCACAACCCTGACAGTGAGGTTCCCTTTGCATTTTGTGCCTGAGGAACATGACTATCCTTGTTGTAGCTCTGACCCTCAAAACTCAGAACTCTATTATGATATATTACAATTGATTTCACTCATTTAGAAATGCAAATCAAATACAGGTAGAATAAATGCTTTTTTTTGAAAAACACTCCAGAAATACAGAAGTATATATTAACTGAGGTTCTCTCAAACACACAATTTTGGTACAGGATATATATTCAAGAAAATTGCTCACACAATAGCATGGACATGAGTGTTAACAGCACTTTTGTTATATATCTAAACAGTAGAAACAAACCAAATGTCCAGCTACTGAATGGATAAGAAAAAACGTGCTTATCCACACAGTGGAATGAAATTCCACACTCCTAAAAATGGAATGAAATTCTGATCTGTTCTATGCTCTCAATGAAACCTGAAATCATTATGTTAAGTGAAAGGATGCACTTAAAAGCCTTTATATTACATAAGTTCATTTATAATAAAATGGCTAGAAAAGGAAAATCCTTAGAGAAAGCAACCAGATTAATGGTTGCCAGGGCAGGAGGGCGGTGGTGGCAGAGATAAGAAGAGAACCCTTACACATATAAGAGTTCTTATCTAATTGACAGAATATTCTAGAGCACTGAGAATAGTTTTCTAATACTGTGAGTATATTAAAAACAACCAAATTGTATTCATACACATAGTGAAGTTTCTGTCATTGTGATGCATATCTAAATAACACTTTTAAAGTGAAGAAAAGTAAGAGTCTGTCCACCTTCCTTCCAATAGCTAGGATTTATCAACTACCTGTGAAGTTTTAGGAAATTTGGAATGTTTCTCTGCATATAATACTCAAAATAATACCAGAGGGAATCATTTGCAGATAAGAAAGTTAAAGAATCAAGAGGGTTAAGTATTGATCAAAGACTATTTTGTTGTAAGAGACAGAGCTGAGCTTGTAAAATCAAGCAGTCTAGCTTCCAGGCTTAATTACCAGAAGTAACCACAGTTAACAGCTGGGACTATATACACTCCCAAATTATTTTCATTAGGGAGAATAGATACAAATTCACTTCACTATTGAGTATGGTTGTTTCTTCATGAGCAAAGCAGGACAGTAGTGTAGAAACTGCGTGCCATAAGAAACAAAAGAGACTTTCTATGACCTTTTACAAAAAAACTGATGCCATAAAACTTCCTTTTGTCAGTGAGCACCCTATCTTGTGTAACCTCCCAGGTTTCCCAGAGCTCCTTCATTTCTTTAAACTGCTGTAAACAAGTGAGATGTGGCCTCCTCTGTGGAGCCTAATGTCACACTGACTACCACTCTTGTCAACCACTTTATCTTTTCAAGATTGAGTCCCTCACAGGAAAACTTCTACTCATTTACAAGCACCTGGAAGAATAGGAGAGGAGCTACTACCCTTTTGCCATCGCCTACAGTGAAAACTGTGGTGGGCCTCTTCCTTTTGTGATTAAGGAGTTTATTGTCTTCCTCTTTGAGAACTGCGGACTTTCTCAGGAGTATTTTCTCCTTGGGACTCACCAGTACCATGATACCCTTCTTAGAAAAGTAGCTTGAACCCAGAGACTCAGTTGCAAGTTGAAATGAATAAAGACGGGTGATGCTCAACACTGGAAATCTCATTGGAAGAGAGCTGACCAAGGAAAGAAAGCTCCACTTACGTCTGAGAAATCCAAGATGATGCTGAAGTGCTGAGCATTTGCTACTCTAGAGAATCCTCTGTTTTGAAAGTGGCACTCAGAGTAACTAGTTTCCACATGGTGGAAAAATGAAGGAAGACATTTCTGTACACTTGTAGAAAGAAACTTCTAGTATGTCACAAAGTGTTACAGGGAAAAAAGACTGGGGCTGAAGGTGGAGGTGGGTGACAATGGAACGAAGACGCTGAGGATGTAATCTCTGACTTGATTTGTTATTATTGCTGTTGTTTTTTCTTGCACTGTGATGCCTGTGCTTTCATGATCTCAGAACCATTAATACCATTAACATTATTCATCTCGTCCAAAAAAAGCTCAAACATTTCATACCATGACCTTGAGAACTAGTGAATTCCACAGAGTAAATGAATGCTTTTTGTAGAAATACTTTCCTTACCACATTTCTCTAAATCTCCTGGATACAAATTTTATCACTTTTAAGTCTTATTTAAATCACAGTTGAGGAAGAAGAAGATGGAAGGGGAAAAAGAAGGTAAAGGAGATGTAAGAAAAAGTAGAAAAGAAAAAGAAAAGTTACTTCTTTAAAATTACTTTTATAATTCTATTTAAGAAAAAAAAAAGACTGGATGCTACATTACAGACTACATTCTAGGAAGTAAACTGCTTAATAAGTCATAAACAAGGCCTAACCACAAAGAAAAAAGGAAAGCTATTAAAGCATACAACTTCTGAATTCCACTGGGCATTGCACATGGTAGAGCACAGACACTTGGAGGAGTTAGAGAATATGTTCAAATCTTTGAAAACATACAGTATCAGAGATTCCACTTCAAAAGAACAGATTATGAGCCCAGGAGATGGGAGAACAGTTCTGAGACCTTTCTCAGGCTGTACTTCGTGAGCTAGTCATACCAGTTTCTTCAGGAATGCAAGAATTATTGCAAAATGGCCAGGTTCTATAAACATACTATCCATGCTTAAATTTACATATAAGACAAAAAAATTGAAGAATTTCGGAAAATATTTCATCCTTTTACATTTTACTTATATTCTTCTTTTTTACGGAAAAGAGGAAACCTTCGAACTCACCTGTATCAAATCCCACACTTGGCACTATGTCCACTGTTCCATGAAAGGCGCCAGCCCACGCTGAGGTAGCAGTGGTGACTGTGGAAGGATCTGTCTTCGCAATCTCACATTGGGGAGCAGGAATCCTGGCCGCACGCATGGGTGGCATCAGCAGGGGCCCATAGGATGGATCCAAGGCAGAGCTGGCAGCAGGGTGGTGGTGGTGACGGTGATGGTGATGATGGTGGCGGTGGTGCATGTGGGTATGAGGGTGGTGGTGTCGCATGTATACGTCATGCATGTGGCTGTAAGATGGGCTCACCTGAGATGCCAAAGGGTAGTGCCAGGACTCAGACACAGGAGGGGGAGGTGGTGGGCCAGTCTGATGCAGGCTATGTCCTGACCAGGGGCTGGGGTCTGCTGCAGTAAAGGTGCCAGGGGGTGCAGTGACTTGGAAGTCAGGATGAACTCCCCCCAAACAAGGTGCAGGTGGGGGCTGGTAAGAGCTGGTCCAAAAGGAAGTTGGAAAATTACTCCGCTGGCTTGAGAGAGCTGAGCTGTCTGAGAAGACAGAAAACACATTATTTTCATAAGATTCAGTTCTGGGATAGACCTGCCTTTCCTTGTCCAATCATGTTTTACAAGCAAGTGAATTAATATGCACTCTCTCCCCACACAGGGGTGGAGTGATAGCAGGTTAGCCTCTGGGCTATCATGTTAAGACCACAGCAAGGACTTAGAGTGCTAAATGAGTGACCCCAGCCATTACCATTTTGTTTAGCTTTTCTTGGTCTGTTAGAGCTTGAAATTTGGATAATGAAAACTTCATTTTCTTTTGGGATTCTTGTGGCCAAAGTCTCAGCAGAGCTACAAACACTTCTCTGGTAATGAAAATTTATGCCATAGATGAGGTAGGTATAGATCATTAAATCATTTTATGATCATTTTATCAGTCTTTTAAGTACTAGTACACTTTTCATCCAAATCCAAAATTTCAATGTCAAGTAGCGAATGAAAGTAAGATCACACTTAACTGTGTCCACCAACTTTTTCTCCCCTTAGATATGGGAGTCTCTAGACTGATAATAATAATTACCTCCTAATGGGAGTAACCAAATGAATTCAGTCCCACACTAAATGAAGGCTTCTCATAATGATTTATAAGGTCCTCACTCCAGTCCTAGGATGTACAGCGGTACCTTGGTTCACAAACTTGATTCTTTCCATGATTCCAGTTGGATACTGAGTTGAATGAGAACTCAGTCAAATTCAATGATTAAATTCAACATTGGCCTTATGGGGAAATTTGATTCAGTTCTCATCCAGTTCAGTTTGTGACAAAGTCATTAACTGAAATACTAATTACCTCCATTTTATAAAATAGGAAATACAGGCAAATAAAAAGGCTAAGACTTATATTGCCAAGAATGGATGGTGAAGTCAGGTGGGTTACCTGAATGATTAATGCTAGCACATTTGTATCATGCCACAAGACGGTACAATTATAACTTAAACCAAAATATCTGTCATTTGTTAAAGATTCTGTGAAAATCCTAAGTGCAGGAGATTTGAGCAGAGGTAGTGAAGTTGAGGAAGTTTTTGGATAAGAGGGTAATATGAAAGCATAGCATAATTCCATATGGAAGAGGGAGAGTTTTGTCCTTGATGCTGTGCTAATTCAGTATGTCTACTCAGTCATCACAATATATTTCTGATGACCTACCATGTGCCAAGCAGAGGCACTAGGGACGAACAGTCACTATCCGGAGGAGCACACAAATAGAAGCAGAATGCTGTAGGACAGGGTTAAAGTTCTCAGAAGAGGAAACACAGACAAAAACCACTGAACCAACCTAAGAAAGTGATAACTACATAAAAGCTGAACTTTTCAGAGGAAGCTAATCTTGTGAAGAGACAAAACAGAATTTTAGAAAAATGAAACAGTATGTGAAAAAGATTATATATTTTACATGCATGCATGCATGCACACAGCAGCACCGAGAGGAGGAATATTTCAGTATTTATTTATTTACTGATTTGTGCCTCAGGGAAAGGTCTGGTAACTTGAACCAACCACTACATATGTCACGAGGGTAACATAATTAGGCTATCACTGCGGTGTACACATATTTTTTCTATCATCACTGAAGACGGCCACTGGCAGTGGGAACCCTTTGGTTCTCTCTCCTTCAGCGCCCATCAAAGCTATCATCAGTCTCCCCATCCACGCTGGGAACACAGCTGTCCATAGTCTCACAGCCAAGCATTACCCTCACAGAACTGCTGTGGCTCTTACACCCTCGGAGGAACTTGGAAAGTGATGTTTTAGGGGCAAAGGATGGAACTGCTCACTTCCCAAGTCCTCCCATACCTAAGGGGCCTTGTACTTCAGTGACTTTACTGTTACCGTGATCAATCAGACAGTAGCACTTAAAAGCAAACTTACTGACATGGTGGCAAGTAGGTCTTGTTAAATGATTACCTATCACTGGCATATCAATGAACAAAGGGAAACTGTATATGTTATTAAAGAAAATTCAAGTTACCTTAAATGATAGCATTGCAGAATATTTTTGTCACACACATAAAGCTACCAATGTTTAAAATGTAAAACCCACACAGGAGTTTAGAGAGGACCTTAAATGACAGAGCGTGGCTTGGCTACCATTAGTCTGTCCCCTTGCTCTCATAATTCCCACTTACGACAGGAAGTCCTTCATCCTGCTCATAACATTCATCTCTGAGTATGGCCAGTATCTTGTTGTGAAAAGTATTGAACCCTAACCCACAAATATGTGTCAGAGACACACAGTCCCTCTTATTAAAATTTCCCATCAAAATATAAAATACAGAGTAGACACCACTTCTCTGGATGCTTCCTTTTGTTTCTTCTTATTTATATGTACATGAAATCAATCATTTTATGGATGCATAAACATTTTGGATATGCATATGCAGATATGAATAATGAACAAAAAGTATTATCACCCTAGTTAGGAAGTATTATATTGTGGTTAGTGAAAACATTATCACTAAAAGTAGAAATATATTTTTTAACATGCACTCCCTAAAGATTAGACAAAGGTTTAAAATACCCCAGGGAAAAATAAAATTAAAAAACTTAGTATTTTCTCAATCTGTGTATGTCTCCTGAGATCAGTATAAAGTTTGCAAGATTTATGCAGCTCTTTTTAGAAACACCATTGGATTTCACAAGTAAAACAATATTGACTGGAAAATATGCCTATGAAGAATCTATTTCATAGAATCACTATTTGGTATCTAGCTCTTTTAAAGAAAAAAATCTTGACACAGAGAAATAGATGATATGCTTTGCTTCATGCTGGAGAGTTGGTGTGCTTTATCATGTAAATACATTTGTTTCATTACATGACACTCCTTATGTGTGCTTAATCACAGCCACATTTGTTGGACGAAAAAGCATATAAAAACTGCAGGACCTATTTCTACACTATATTACTTTTCAGTTTAGTGGAGACAATTCAGAACTGCATCATATTAACACTTGATAGTGACTTTCGATTCAATATTATTCAATATTTGGGCTATATTAACCCAAATTTGGATGATGTTCACACAGAAGTCCAACACATACCAAAAGTCTAACTCTAAATTGGTTCTGTTTGCATTGATATTAAAGAATATCACACAGACAGACAGACAGACACACACACACACACACACTCTTTATTGCTAAACAATACTAAAATTAATGTATATTCCAATAACCTGCTCAAAATATACTAAGTATATTTTATTTGATTATTTAGATCAGAAATGTTTCTTAGAAAAATGCAGTCTAACATGGAATATCAAGTATTTTTTTAATTCTATAAGCACTGAGATAATTTTGTATTAAACCTAAATGTTTCTTTAAGAAAAAGGAAAGATGAAAATTTTAAGAAAAATTCAAGTTTAACTAAAAAATTAGAAACTTTATTACCTACTTTTGAGAAAAACGAAAAATAGGAAAAAACAGGACAATGAAATGCTGTAGAATAATTATCTTAAATCACCTTAATCTCCAGGAAACATGTCCTTACAATCAATATTGAAAAGAAATACCAATATTAAAAAGTAATATTTACCTTTTGATTAATCTCTGTAAAAAAAAAAAAACCTGTCAATTCTTATCCAATCTTATCTTATTCCTCATATAATAAAAGACTCAAACACTTTTTGTGTTTCCTAGAGACTCCGCTCAGCTCCTCAATCCCAATCAGCCAGCTCACGAGACAAACTTTCCTCTCTTTTTCTCCTTTTTGCTGTTTAAATTCAATATTCATTTTGAGAGGTCTTTCTTATGAGACTCTCTGAGACTGAGTTGTGCCAAGAGACCTTGTGGAACTACGAAGAAAATAGCAACAACAACAAGAACAGTAAGTTCAGCAGTTTTTAGGTCTGTGGTGTACTTTAGGTGGCCTGTCTTAGTTACTACTCTTTTCTATACACACACACACACGCACACACGCACACACTTACTTCTTGGAAAGATTAGTGCATAGACATACTTGAAGCTGATGTTTCTATTTGTATGGGAATGAAGTGATAACCCAATTAAGTTTTCATAACTGAGGATAGTCTATTCAATCCCTATTAGAATGTTTAGTGGAATTAGGGTAACTGATGAGATGTGACACACAGAGTAAGAATACTCCTTTTCATCGTTTGCCTAACAGCTGTAAAACACCTAAAAAGAACTTTTCTATCTCCAGCAAGAAGTTGCACATTCTTATCACCATAATTCCATTATCGGCTAACACATTATCTTTATCTAAAACTAATATGCAAGTATTCTGCAATCAAATATAATTCAGTTTAAATTTATTTATAGCACTATACCATATCAGTAGCTCTGTATAACTTCATGCTATAAAGCAGACCCTTTAAAACAGCTGTTCAGCAGCTTTCTTATACAGAGCAATTGCCCCTGCCATTAACGTGATCAGTGGTCTTTAAACTCTACTATATCCAAGACACTGAGGTTTTCTTTTTTTCTTACCAGGAATTGAACTCAGGACCTTGCGCTTGCCAGGCAAGTGCTTGTGCTGTTGAGCTATATCCCCAGCCCCCAAGACATTGAGTTTTGTGCAACAAATATACACTTCCAGAAAACAATGTTTGTGAATCAACACTTAATATTGGTTTTCTGTGTGATATATAAGCGGAAACTCACTGAAGGAAATGGAAAAGGTATCTGACTATCAGCGAACTCCTTGATTCAAGCCTTGTGTGTAATCATTCACACGTTACTACAAAATCTTTACAACAACCCAAGGAGATGTGTATTGATAAACACATCAATAAACACTTAACTAGTACACTTGAGGAAGTTGATTTCAAAGATATTTTAAGTTAAACTTGAATCCAAAATGAAGAGGCTCCAAAGAACATTTTGCAATCCTACATAGCTTTGGCAATTAATATTAATTTTTATTCTTTTTATTAAATACATAAATCTCACTTTATTGTACCTCCTCTTTAATTCTTTACACCTTTAATTAATTACATTTTTGGCTCTCTCGTGAACCCTATTCACT